CCCCAAAACCCCAAAACCCCAAAACCCCAAAACCCCACTTAACATTGAGATTATTGGACAATCCTATTATTAAGATCTTCATTGTTGAACTCTTCTTCATCAACTCATCTCTTAATCTTCTCGAAATATCTGATCTTGACTGAAGTGAGTTTCTCTAAATATTAGTCTCAGTTCATACCTTTTAGTGAATTCAAGAAGGGAAGTTTGCTCCTAGATTTTAAATGTGAGAACTTACACTGGAGATTTAGTGTGGATTAAGTAAACCAAAACTTCGTGAATCATATTCTTGAGGATACTTTTAGGTATGATTAGCCTAAAGTTACTCAAATTATTACCTTATATATGGTCTGGGAGGGGACTGCAGTTCATTCCATTCTTCATTATCTCCAAAAAGAGCCCTGTGCGCGTCAAGGATAGCATAGAGACTTGAGTTATTCTTTCGATCATTTTGAATGTTTTTCTTATATTCCACAACTTGAGTTAAGTATTGGTACTTCTTGATTTGGTAGAAAACGTCGAAGTACATTTTCCGTGCCTTAATACCTGTTTCTATTGGAAAATTTGAGATTTACTCACAGAAGGGCATTCAAGACACATATTTTTTAATATAAGCTTACCTTTATGAGCACCGAAGTCAGAAGTTGGTATCTTTTTAAAATGCTGTGGGTTATTTAAAAATATTACTTTTTCTATGTTGATTTCTTCAGGGGGTAAAGACTTCAAGTTGTTGATTATAGGCTCTAACTTTGACCACTGCTTGTTCATAAGAGCATTGACAGTAGTTCTCCTCTTGTAACTATAGAATTGTAGCTAACTTTGATGCAAACTTACAATCTTCTCCATCATTTTTGAAGCCGTACAAGCCTCATGTTAAAAACTTGAGCTTTAACAATATGACCATTGGCAGCTACATCTTTGAGGAAATGGAAAATTTGGGTTTGCCTCTTTTTCCTTACTTTCTTAAGCCATCTTCTGACAAAGCTCTATGGAATAACTGAACAGAATACTTTGAGGACTATCGTTAATGTAGAAAAGGCTCTTCTTGTTTTGATTTTATTTAGCAAGTATTCTGACTATTTTATTACAGCAAAAGCGTACATTTCCCAATGGATTTCATAAGCCAGTATAGAACTCCAAGAAGCCTGTCTGCATTACCTTTGGTGCTATTTTCTAACGCTAGGTCATCAGCTTACTTGTTAAGGAACTTTTCTGTGATCGATTGGCATATAGGTAGGATAAATCAGTGAGTTTTGTATCAGTCTATGATCTCCTCTATGTGGCTTTGTCTAGAAATTACCAAGGGGCTAACTCATAGTCTTCCTTTTGATTACTCTCCCCATCTTTAGTTCCTAGAACTCATTTTACATGAAAGCCATACTTTGAGAAGAGAGCATTGCGGACGGCAATCATCTTCTTTTTCTTTAGAATTTCATGGTTAAATCTGGTCTTAGCATTTTCTTTGGCAAGTTTTTCCCGTTCTTGTCTATTCTTCTTACAAATTTGCCTTAAAACTTTAACTTTTCCTTAAATTTAGGGAGAAATTTACCCTGATCGGGCTGATTCTTGATATTGATTTTGATGAAGTTCTAGAGTTTTACAGAGAAAACTGACTTTATTTAGAAAAATCTCGAGTCTTTTGAAGACGCAGTAGCTCATCCTTCATTGTAGAGGTGAATCTAAACAGTTGTGGAGAATATTTACCTTTTAGATCTCGAGAATCTTTGAAACTGGCTAGACCTAATGCGTTCTACACTGTGGCTTCTATTGCGCTGGAGTCGTTCCTTCAGTCTTTTTATGAGTTTATCATTATGACTCCCCTTCTTAGACATGCGCTTGCATAAATAAGGGTCTTCCTTGTTGAAGGAGTAACTAGGAGAATTAGACATAAAGGTTGTTCTCATATCTTGACTAGAGTCATAATACCCAGGACCAAGATTAGCAAAGGCCCTTGTACCACCTATGGTCTGATTAAACGCGCTATTCCTCGAAGCAAGGGAGAAGGAGTAGCCTATCACTCTCTTCTTAGGTGGACTGCCTTGTTTGCACTCATTCAGTATTCGCTTGACTTTCTTCTGAAACATTCTGTTGAAGTCCCAATTGGATGTCATTTTGGTATTTTTCAAAAAGAAAGGAAATAAATTTATATCGCTTCTATTTTTAAATGTATTTTGGGGTTTTGGGGTTTTGGGGTTTTGGGG